GGAATGTGTACACAAAATTCAGTGTTGAAAGAAATTATTTTTATCAAACAGCCCATGGTTAACAATAATTTAATGAGGAAGATTGCACTGAATGTTTGAATTCATTTCTCAAATGTGTATTTAGTCACCCATGTCACGCAGTTGTGTGTCTGCTCTAGAGTCACAAAGTAAGGAGTTCTAATCCCACTGTGGGACCTGGACCGGTTTTTCAGATGAGACCATGTAAACCGAGGTCCCATGTTGCAGTAGGTTCTGGAAAGAAAAAGTTTCCTCCCTGCTCAATGGCCCTGAGTGCCAAGAATACTATAGGACAAAATTTGCAGCTCTCCACCTGCAAGTGGTGGCGTCTCTATATGAGTGAAAAATTCTCAAAGGGACGTAAAACAATATACATTATACATTCGAATGCATATTTGCTACCCAAGGGTTTCCAATGGGGTACTCACCTCATAATCCCTTGGCACAATTTTTCAAAATGCAACACCTCCTACAGTTTATGTTTGATTTCAATAGTTGATTCATAATATTGTATATCAGTTTTTGATTTCGATAAATAGTGTTGATTTGGCTACTAAAAATAGAAATTTCTCTGAAATACTATAAAAATCATTTTAGTCTGATAATAGTATAATTGGGCATGCAAGTGCAGTTTGTAGACTACGCATATATACATAATTGTCTTATTTTGTTGATTGATGTTGCCATGGTAACTAAAATTGAAAATTCTGTAAAATTTTATTAAAAGCTACTTCTACAGTTATGGTCTCTTTGCAAGCTTGCCACAAAAAAGCAATTAAGATCATTATTCTATTTACTATAGGCAAAATAAAAAAAATATGTGTGGTTCCGGTTACTCTACCTTCCCTATTTTTCACCCCGACCCAAAACTTTTTTTGACAATTTCCATATTTTTTAAAACTTTCTCTCTTTATGTCATTGGTTCCTGAATTAGTTTTTGTTTCAGCTGGTATAAAGATGAATAATAACCCTCATAGAATAATGACTAAGTGAGAGGGGGGTTGATTTTCATTACTATGCACCCACCAATGTTGACTTGTATATAATCATGCTATATCTAAATGCCACCTGCAAACCAGTGATAGGTATTACAAAGAAAAATTTCATATATCATTTTGTAAAAAAAAAATCCCTACCTACCTATCCTAATTTTTAGCTCTACTGGTCAGAGACCAGAAGAGCTTATGCGATAGTAAGGTGTCCGTCGTCCGTCCTTCTGTCTGTCTGTCTGTCCGTCTGTCTGTAAACAATTTTTCAAAATGCTACTCCTCCTACAGTTTTGGTCTGATTTTAATATAACTTGGCACACAAGTAGACTACACTAAGATACATAAAATAGTGCATCGGATTTTGATTTCGATGAACAGTGTTGCCATGGCTACTAAAAATAGAATTTTCTGTGAAATTCCTTTAAAATGCTACTCCTCCTACAGTTATGACCTGATTTCAATATAACTTGGCATACAAGTGTACTACACTAAGATACACAAAATAGTGCATCGTTTTTTAATTTCGATGAACGGTGTTGTCATGGTTACTAAAAATAGAATTTTCTGTGAAATTCCTTTAAAACACAACTCCTCCTACAATTTTGATCTGATTTCAATATAACTTGGCACACAAGTAGACTACACTAAGATACATAAAATAGTGCATCGGTTTTTGATTTCGATGAACAGTGTTGCCATGGTTACTAAAAATAGAATTTTCTGTGAAATTCCTTTAAAACGCTACTCCTCCTACAATTTTGATCTGATTTCAATATAACTTGGCATACAAGTAGACTACACTAAGATACAAAACATAGTGCATCGGTTTTTGATTTCGATGAACGGTGTTGCCATGGTTACTAAAAATAGAATTTTCTGTGAAATTCCTTTAAAATGCTACTTCTCCTACAATTTTGATCTGATTTCAATATAACTTAGCACACAAGTAGACTACACAAAGATACATAAACTAGTGCATCGATTTTTGATTTCGATGAATGGTGTTACCATGGTTACTAAAAATAGAATTTTCTGTGAAATTCCTTTAAAACGCTACTCCTCCTACAATTTTGATCTAATTTCAATATAACTTGGCACACAAGTACACTACACAAAGATACATGAAATAGTGCATCGTTTTTTTATATCAATGAACAGTGTTGCCATGGCTACTAAAAATAGAATTTTCTTTGAAGTTCCTTTAAAACGCTACTCCTCCTACAATTTTGGTCTGATTTCAATTTGACTTGGCACACAAGTGGTCTGCATTAAGATACATAGAATAGTGTATCGGATTTTGATTTCGATGAACGGTGTTTCCATGGTTACTAAAAAAAGAATTTTCTGTGAAATTCCTTTAAAATGCAACTCCTCTTACAGTTTTGGTCTGATTTCAATATTACTTGGCACACAAGTAGACTACACTAAGATACATTGTATATAAAATAGTGCATCGGTTTTTGATTTTGATGAACAGTGTTGCCATTGTTACTCAAAATAGAAATGTGTGAAATTCCTTTTAAAAGCTACTCCTTCTACAGTTGTGGTCTGATGGCAATGGCTTCTTTTCTCATCCTTTGTTATAAGTACAAACCAGTAGAGCTACAGTCTCGACAGAGACTTCTGGTTTTGGAGGTGTAACCGGAACCCCACCTATTTTTTTGTTTGGCCTTATTGCTGTTGTAAAGTTTCAAGTCACAACTGCCACTTTTCTCTTCCTTTGTTATAAGTATAAACGTATAGCTACAGTCTCGATAGAGACCTCTGGTTTTTTTAATAAAGCAGATATTTCCATCATTACCAAAGCTTTTTATACACTTGCGCTACAGAATCTGCATGCTCATCTATTTACAATTAAGTTAAAAGATAATGCATGTGTTAAGGAGATGTCCATTCCTGTTAGATCTATCGATGGAGGAAAAAAGACATTTTTTGGTTAATTGCACTAGATTCAGTTCACATAAATCATGCATATATGTACAAGTTTTTGGTCTGTGAATTATATGGGCAATTTTTTAAAGGACATTTCATATTTTTTTACATAAACATGTACAGCTTTTGGATAGAGAAATGCATGTATTTGGAGTCTGGTAACTATTTAAGTTCTTTCAAATGTGACTAAGGTCAATGACCTCATGACCTTCACTATGACCTATGTACTAAAAATATCTTTTGAACTTTGTTGCCACTTGTCACATAGTGTTTCACAAAAACATCTTGTTTATTTTAATGAAAGGTTTAAACTGATTGTAATATTTATCACACTCCTGTATTACACAATATCTTCATTATTTAACACACATCCATTAAAATACAAAATGATGGGTAAAAAAAAAAACAAGTTAGGAATCTTCTGTGCAAAACTATTCAGAGACCTAGCACTTAAGTATCTAAAACATGGATTTAAATTGCTATTTTCCTATTCTGTTAATAACAGTGCTGTGGTTTATACAATGACCTTGTTTATACATACAGCCTATTATAAGAAACCACGTTGATTAGTGGATGTCTTAAATATAGGATAGGTTACTCTTTTTTGATGATTTGTCCATTCATTACTTTATTTTTCTGATTGTTGAAGTTATTTTTGAAGAAGAAGGGCATATTGCTTTTCTGCTGTCTGTAAGGTCCATCAACAGTTTCCATTCATTTTTTGTTAATGGAGGTTGCATATACTGGAATGAAATTTGGCATACAGATTTATCATAAAAATGTCTAGGTCAAGTATTTTAAAAAATAGGTTTTGGCAATTTAAGACCGAGTTCTGCCCCGTGGATTTAGAAAAAATCCAATTTATTTTATTTTTTGGGGGGGGGGGGGTGGGTGGGGTGGGGTGGGGTTGGGGTTGGAGGGGGGACAAAAGTGTTTAACAAATATCTCCTGTTAAATATATGGTAGGATGTACAGTTGAGCCACAATAATCAGCACATTTCATCCTTCCAAACAGGTCCCAGGATCACGAAATTAACTTGCATGCAAGTCAAATTTTTAATTGCTTGTAACATGACATTACTTAATAAATTAATCACAAAATTTGCAAATAACAACACTTTTGTGAAACAGTATTTAAAAATATTTTAATTTTGACCAGCTTAACTTTCACAGTATTTAAGTATAAAATAAAATTTTTGTTGTAAGCTTAAATTTTTTTATGATCATGGGGCCAGGTTTAGGAAAAAGAACATTGATATATCTAAGAGTCATGTGGGGTAAATTTTAGTATTCATGATGCTTCGTAAACCCAGATAATTCCTTTGGGACACAAGTGTCCTTGTTGAAAAGGCTTGACTGTACATCCAAAATGTCAATATTCATTATTAATTTTGTCCCTTGTAGATGCCGAGAAGAAAGTACTGGAGAATGAGTGGAGCCAGGAAAGAGATACAGACTGACAAGACTGAGGAGACTGGCCTCATGAAAAACAGTAAAACAATGTCTGACCTGGACTTGACTGAGGAGACTGGCCTCTTAAAAAACAGTAAAACAATGCATGACATTAGAATGACTGAGGAGACTGGCCTCGTGAAAAACAGTAAAACCAATGTTGACCCTGAGGAGCCTGCCCTCAGGTTACAAAAAAAAACAGGAAAACCAAAAAACTTGTGAAATGAATCTGCTCAATGAACTTTGTGATATGAATCTGGCAAATGAACTATGTGAAACAAATCTGCTCAATGAATCTCATGAAAAGAATTTGAAAAACAATGTTGAAAAAAAAATAACAAACAATGCCTTAATCGCTGATACTGTACTACACAACAGTGGTGTAACGGCTGAAGAAAGCAAATCACTTAGACATGAAGACAATCGGGTATGCAATACAAAACTAGTATTTGGGTCATTTCATCAAGGAGATGCAAGGTTTTCATCATTTTCTAGAGGAAGTCAGTGTACCTGCAATGCTCTTACAATGCTGATCAAAAGTTATGAAAGATTTTCATTCTCGACTGAATTTATCGATAGAACTTTAATAGCAGGAGATCAGGTTTATGTTATGTTGGTGAAGAATTTGCTGCAAAAAGAAATGTATCTGAACAAACTACTTAAATTTGATGAGTTGCCAAGTAATTTAACTCTTGGAGAAAACCATCATATCATTGAGAAATTTGAAACCATGTGGGGATTACTTGTCTCTGAAGAACAAAACAGTCAGGTGAAATCTTTGCATCAAGTTTTAGAAGAGGCATTTCAGGTTTCTAGATATTTGCTGATTATGATAGGTGCAATTTGCTCTGGTATATATAAAGTGTCAGACAATGAATATTACTTTTTTGACTCTCATTCACATGACAGTGATGGCATGTCTGCCTGTGATGGTAAATCAGTACTAGTTCAAAGCAAGAGTATAGATGATCTGGTGTCATATTTGTACAGTATGTATAACAGCATGCATATAGACTTTGCAACACAGTTTGAAATCTTGCCAGTCTCATTTAAGACTCTGCATCATAGTTTTCCAGAGGAAAGCCCATTGCAAAAAAAGTTTTTCAAAATGGATGATCATTTCTCATCTGAGACAAATTCAGAAGATCAAAATCTATGCAGAAAAAGTTATATGAGAGAGTATATGAGAAGAAAAAGACAGAATGTACATTTTCAGCAAGTTGAAAGAAATAAAGATGCACATGCTAAAAAGTTAAAGAGGAAAAATGATGATATAAAAAGCAAAGAAAAAGAAATGGGAACAATTGCAAGGAAATTAAAAAGACAGAGTGCTGAAATAAAAATGAGAGAAAATGAAAGGGAAACGGCTGCTAGAAAGTTAAAACGACAGAATGTTGAAGTAAAAGAGAAAGAAAGGAAAACCAATACAGCTGGTAGACAGGTTAAAAGACAAAATTTAGAAGTAAAAGAAAGAGAAAGAAAAATGAATACAGCTGGTAGAAAGGTGAAAAGACAAAATATAGAAAGAAAAGAAAAAGAAAGGAAAATGGATACTGCTGGTCGGAAGGTGAAAAGACGAAATGTAGAAATAAAAGAAAAAGAAAGGAAAATGGATAGGGTTGCAAGAAAGTTAAAGCGACAAGATAGTGAAATTAGAGAGAAAGAAAAGAATATAAATACTGCTGGTAGAAAGTTAAAGCGACAAGATAGTGGAATTAGAGAGAAAGAAAAGAAAATGAATACTGCTGGTAGAAAGTTAAAGCGACAAGATAGTGAAATTAGAGAGAAAGAAAAGATTATGAATACTGCTGGTAGAAAGTTAAAGCGACAGGATGCTGAAATTAGAGAGAGAGAACGAAACATGAATACAGCTTACAGAAAGTCAAAACGACAAGATGCTGAAATTTATGAAAAAGAAAGAAAAATGAATACAGCTGGTAGAAAGTTAAAACGTCAGAATATTGAAGTGCAAGAAAGAGAAAAAGAGGGCAGTAGAATTTCAAAAAGATTATGTAGAGAAAACCCAATCGTTCTTGAAAAAGAAAGGCTTAGAAAGCAAGCTAAACGAAGTAACATTTCATTTAGAGAAAATGAGAGAATGCTAAATAGGGAACAGAAACAGAAGAAAAGAACAGATGTAGAATATTGTGAAAAAGAAAATGAACGAAAAAGACAGAAAAGATATGGAGTAGATATAGAGGATTGCATCCAAAATTTTCATGAACAGATTAGACATGGACCAATTTTTGTATGTTCATGTTGTCAGCAAACATGGTTCAAAGAAAGTGTTTCTAAAGTGGAAAGCACCAAAGTAGATGACAACAGTAAAAGAAAGTTTCTTACTAGTACTTTGTCTGTTGACAATGTGGAATGGATTTGCAATACTTGCTATTCATCAATGAGAGAAAACAAAATTCCAAAGTTGTCTGTCTTCAATGGTATGATGTGGCCACTTAAGCCAGTAGAATTGGATTTGTTTCCTTTAGAAGAAAGGCTAGTATCTTTGAGAATACCTTTTATGCAAATTAGAGAGTTGCCGAGAGGTGGACAATATTCTGTAAGGGGAAATATTGTGAATGTTCCAGTTGATATTCAACCTACTGTAAATAGCCTGCCAAGAAAATTAGATGAAAATGTCACAGTTCCTGTCAAATTAAAGAAAAAATTGTCATATCAAAAATGTGATTATCATGAAAATGTACGACCAACAAAAGTACTGATTGCATTACACTGGCTTATGAACAATAGTGACTTTTACAAGAATGCAAATATCAATATTGATGATAACTGGTTTCAAGAAATTACAACTTCAGCGAGTGAAATTGTTCAGGAATTGGTGAAAACACAAGTTAGAAGCAACCAAAACACTGATGATGATGAGACGGTTGATGATGATAACGATGAGTATTGTGAAGTAGATGGAGTTGGTAGAGATGGTAATTGCGATACTCTGTTAGATGATGCATCACGAGACATGAATCAGATTTACACATTTGCTCCAGGTGAAGGACAACGTCCGCTTAGTCTATATCAAGATCAGACAGCTGAATATTTGTCATTTCCAACAATTTTTTGTGGAAAGGGAAGATTACAAGATGACGAAAGACAAGTTCGTGTTTCCTATGCAGATATTGCTAAATGGGAATTGAGGAGTGTTGATAGACGTGCTGCCCAGTCTGTTCCAAATTTGTTTTTCAAGTTGAAAAAAATACAAATGAAGCAAGTTACAGACAAATGCAACCTGGCTCTTAGGAAATGCAAAACCAAAGGAAAATCCATTACAGCAAATGAAATGAAAAATCCCCAAAATGTGAATAATCTTGTTAGACACGATGAAGGTTTTTTTGTGTTCAGGCAGTTACGAAATTCACCTGCATATCTTGAGACTAGAAAAAAAGATGTATTTGCTATGATTAGACAGCTAGGTTTACCAACGTGGTTTATGTCACTGTCTGCTGCAGATACAAGATGGAATGATCTCATCAGAGCACTTGGGGTGTTAAATGATGGAAAAGAATACACTGATGAAGAAATCGACAACATGACTTGGTATGAAAAGTCAAAATTAGTACAAAAGGATCCCATCACTTGCTCTAGGTACTTTGATCATAGGTTCCGTATGTTTATGAATTCAGTGTTGAGAAGTGATCATCATCCAATTGGAATCGTAAAAGACTTCTTCTACAGAACTGAATTTCAGCAAAGAGGATCACCACATATTCATATGATTGTTTGGATAGAAAATGCACCAAAATATCAGGAAAATACTGAACAGGAGATAGTGAATTATGTAGATAATTACCTGAAATGTGAAAAGAATGAAGAGAATGATTTGACTGACTTGCAAGTGCACAAACATTCACAGACATGTAAAAAGAGAGGGAAAGCTGTATGTAGATTTGGATTTCCCCTTCCTCCTCTTGAAGAGACTTTGATTTTGGAGCCACTAGAGTGTGATGTTGATAAGTACAAGAAAATGTATGATGATATTCAGAAACAGCTCAATGATATGAAAAATGGATGTGATTTGCCCTACAAAGAGCTCCTGAGCACGGTACTAAAGATATCGGAGGAAGATTACATAAAATGCATTAGAAGTTCGCTGAGAGGTCCAAAGGTTTTTCTAAAGAGAAATCCATGTGATATGAGGGTAAACTCATACAACAGTGTTGTTCTTGATGCTTGGAAAGCTAACATTGACATTCAGTATATTTTGGACCCATATGCGTGTGCAATGTATATTGTTTCTTATATAAGTAAGTCACAAAGAGGGATGAGCGATTTACTTAACAGAGCTGCAAAAGAAGCTAGAGAAGGAAATCTTGACATAAAAAGACAGGTACGTCATATTGGAAATCATTTTCTGAATAGTGTAGAAGTTGGAGCACAAGAAGCAGCATATTTAGTGTTACAAATGCCAATGACAAAAGCTTCAAGGGATGTTGTTTTTATCAACACAAGTCCATCAGATGACCGAGTAATTCTCATCAAAACAGATGCAGAATTGGAAAAGTTGACACCAAATTCTACAGATGTTGAATGCAGCAATGTAATTAAACGGTATGCAAAACGCCCAAAGCAGCTTGAAAACTGGTGCTTAGCAGATTACGTGTCACAGCTAGATGTTGTATTTCCTAAAGATACTGAAAAAGAGTTCGCTGAAAATGAAGTGAATGATGATGATCAGGACAATCAGTCAGATGATGACAATTCTGATCTCGATTTTGGTGAAAGTGATACACTAGTTACATTGAGAAATGGCATAAAGATCAGACGTCGTAAAATACCAAGGGTAATTAGATATGTCCGATTTAATATTAAAACTGATCCAGAAAATTACTACCGAGAAAAACTTATGTTGTTCATGCCTTGGAGAAATGAATCCACTGATCTAATATCAGGAACAGACACATTTGAGAAGTCATTTCATCTGAAGAAGTCGTTTCTTACACACAAGGTCAAGGAATATGAATTCAATTCTGAACAGCTTGATGCAGCTTTGCAAATGGCAAATGAGGACTTTTCAGAAGCTTTTGATGAATTGGCACCAGATGTTCAGCAAAGAGAGGCAGAAGATGAAAATGAAGGATCTCTTGAATCTGAAAACTTTGTTCAATTTAATCCTGAGAGGCCTATTGAACAGAGACAGTATGATATAGGATCTGATCTTGGCATTCCATCAACAAGACAAATAACTGAAGAAAGTTCTGTTAGATTACCAGACAATGAATACTTGAAACTTTTAGGAAGTCTAAATGTAAAGCAGCGGGAATTTTTCAATCATGTCCTGCACTGGGTAAAAACCAAGACAGAACCTATTTATTCATTTTTATCTGGAGGTGCTGGTGTTGGCAAATCTGTTTTGATAAGAGCACTTTATCAAGCTCTGCACAGATATCTATGTTCCACAGAAGGAGAAAATCCAGATGACATAAGAGTACTTCTTTGTGCTTATACTGGCAAGGCGGCATACAACATTGGAGGATCAACTATAGCATCTGCTTTCCATCAAAAAATTAATCAAAGTCAACAAAGCTTGCACTGTGATGAATTGAACACTTTTCGTACAAAGTACAAAAACCTAAAATTGATCATTATTGATGAGATATCAATGGTTGGAAATAGATCATTAGCTCTCATTGACAGTCGTCTACAACTTCTCACTGGCATCAAGAAACCATTTGGTGGTATAAGCATCATTGCTGTTGGTGATTTTTTCCAACTTAAACCTGTGATGGACCGTTGGATCTTTCAAGATTTAAATCATGATGCTCAAGCTCTTGCAAACAATCTCTGGAAGGAGCATTTTTGCATTTTTGAGTTGGATGAAATAATGCGCCAGAAAGACGATCTTGAGTTTGCTCAACTTCTCAATCGCCTTCGTTACAATATCATGACAGAAGAAGATATGAATGTAATACACAGATGCATGATAACGGAAACAAGTGACAATTATCCACACCATGCTCCTCATCTCTTTACACAGAATTCAAAAGTAGATGCATACAACAATCAGTTGATTGAAAAACTTGAAGGAGAAAAGGTTACAGTGAATTCAGTGGATACAGTTCTAAAGGATTATTCAAAGGAACTTAAGGAAAAGCTGCTGAGATCTCTATCTAAAGCAGATGATGTTAGCAAAACTGCTAATTTGATGCAAAATCTGATTCTTGCTATTGGGATGATATATGATATCTCAGTCAATGTTGATGTATCTGATGGTCTAACAAATGGGTCAACATGTAAGGTACAATTAATTGAAAGAAGATTAGAAGGAATATCAAGACCAAGCATCGTGTGGGTCAATTTTTTTGATGCTGCTATTGGAAAAATTACTCGCAAGAAATACAAACATTTGTATCATGATGGGATTAATGTGGACTGGATACCAATTTTTGAAGTTCAGAGGTCTTTTGTATTGAATTACAATACTTTTCAGAGAATTCAATTTCCGTTACGCCCAGCTGCAGGGAAAACAGTTCATAAAGCGCAAGGTTGCACTGTTGATGAAATTGTAATTGATTTGTCTCAGACTAGAGTGAGGAAAAATGCACATATTCACTATGTAGCACTAAGTCGAGTACGATCAGTGAATCATCTGCACATCCTAAACTTCAATGAGCAGGCATTAGCTATGGATGAACAAGTGGTAGAGGAAATGGATAGAATGAAAAAAGATGTGCCGCTGCTACTTTGTTATGTCCCATTATACCAAGTTGATTTTAATTCTTTTAAAATTGCTTTCAACAACTGTAGATCACTTCATAAACACTTCCAACAAATTCAAGATGAACCAAATATTGTTGCATCAGATGTAGTTGGATTCTCAGAGACAAGATTAACTAGTGTTGATGTAGCTGAAAATTATCAACTGCAGGGATACACAGCAGTATTTAACCATGAGACTACAGATAATATGGACAGGCGCCCTTATCATGGAACAGCAGTTTATGTGAAAAATGTCTACAACACAACCTGCATCTCAAAGCTGAACACTGGTTCCATGGAGTTCATCATGGTAAATATACATGTAAACCAAAGTAGAGTTGTCCAAGTTGTAGTTATTTACAAATATCCATCTTGCTCTTTTGGGGAATTCAAACAGGATATGAATGTGCATATAAAGCCCTTGATTGATAAACAGAAAGACTTGGTATTCTTAGGAGATTTTAATTTTGATTTGTTTGCTGGGCATACAGACTTTCTAACTTTTATGGAAAGAGGCTTCAGCTGTAAACAAATTGTGAGTAAGACTACTCATGACTCTGGTTCGAAACTTGACTTGATTTTTACAAACATATCTCCATGTGAAACAGATGTGATTGAAGCATACTGGTCAGATCATAAAATGGTGTACTGTGCATTTGATAAGACGTAAGCACTAAATACAATGGGGCACGAAAGTAAAAAAAAAAAAAGCAGAGGGAGATCCATAATTATGCCCCCTCCCTCATCCCATTGTCCCATCTTTGTATACCCCTCAAATTTTTGGGGGTATACTGGATTCAACATGTCCATCTGCCTGTGTCTTAATTTGTCAAAGTTAATTTTATTTAATATGCTGTCATGACCAGCAGCTAAAATGATTTAGATCAAGGTCACAAAGTTTATATGTTTATGTTTTTGGTTTTGGGTGAATATTAGGTTATATATACTTTGGCAAATTAATTATTAAGGTTTCTTATGAAAAAGAGATCTGTCGTGATCTCATTGGATGTATTGATTGTACAAGATCATTCAGTAATATGACTAAGAAGTTAAGTATTCTTTGATCCAAAACATTTTAAAGCTTGAACAGTGGGTAACTGTGTTCTTGATTCACTAGAGATTAACATGACCTTCAGCTAATTACACGTCAGCAAAATTCAGGCCATCCCCTTGGCCATTTGCAATAATTCTAGCTAGGTTACAGAGATTGAAGTACATGTATGTCTTCTCTTATTCCCTTTTTGGGGTATTAGCCCTATTTGGACATTTTTTAAAACAACCCACTGTTTGAAAATTTGAATTTTGTACTGTAATCTTTGTATTATATAAAACCTCTGTTTTTAGATGAATACATCTACCTTTTAGACCTGTTTGTTAATTACATATTGAATCCCTATTGTATTTATGTACATGTATATATGTTTACTTTCTTAAGATTTTATTCGTATAAATTAGATAATTTTTAGATAATTTTTTGCTATGACTACAATTTGTGCTAAATTCTTAATGCATATTTAAATTAAAATGAAAGGTTGTCATATTCACAAATAGTTGCATTTTTGGCCATTGTCAGTTGATCAACTGTTGATTTTATTTCAGAAAATTTGTAAAATTACATTTTTTCAATCCACATGTATATGTGTAACAACTCTACTGAATGTCAAGTTTGTGAAATTGATTTATTTTACTTTTTTTTTTACAAGTAATCATCTACATGTACATGTATATTCAAAATAATAGTGCATAATATCATTTTGTAGAATATTGTATTGGATATATCTTGTCTATTCTGTGTACAATTCAGTGTACATGTGTATTACCATTTATAGAGTTCATATATCTTACATGTACAAACAATAATTATGTTTCAGAAATTGAGAATCATCTGTCCCTTAGTATGACATTTGGATTTAAATACCGACAACACAATTTTGTGTTGGGAACTCTTTTATCCTGATATTTTGTAATATTTCTTGAAGAACATTGAAGGACACTCTTTGATAGACTGCAGTGATTGTGATTTGTGACTCTAGAGCATTTCATTACTTGTGATTCGATCTGACTCTTCCAGCTAGCCTACTTAATTTGTGTGATACTCATCTTCTCATAATTAATGCCAGATATATCATTGCAAAAATTAAATATGTGTCACCTTAGAAAATGTGCAAACCATTAAGTTGGATGTCTCCATTGACTGCATGCCTTTAATCTTTTGCTGAAATATTTTTTTGCACTTTTACTTTGGATTTGTGCCTGTTTGTTTTAGTTTTCTTAATTTGATTATAAGTTAGAAAATCATGATAAGACTGCACATACAAAATATTAAATATATTTTACTTAATAATAATAATTCTTATTTGTACTATAAACTTCTTTGTAAATTATGCTTCTTAAAAAAACTTGTGTAAATAACATACAATGCTTACAATTTAAAAATGTCACTACATTGTCACAGTTGAATTTTATATATAAAAAAACTCAGATTCCCTGATTCAAATGAATAAGACGTATCAGGACATGTAGATTTTTGTGAACATCACGTGCATTAAGATCAAATTTAATGTGTACAAAATATATGATTTAAAGGTAAGTATGGAAAGAGGGGGTCAATGGCCAGCCCGTAAAGGGAGGTAAACCTACCTCTTTTAGAAGACAAAAAAATTACTGATGAATATAATTGCACATACAATATGCTACATCTGTAATAAAAACTTCAGAGGAATAAAAGCGCTCCCTTAAATTGTTCAACAAGATTCTTTGAATCAGGGGTTCTGGTAATGCAATTATGTAAACATAAGGTACTATGCATATTGGTAAAACTTGAAAAATCTTCTTTTTTCAATCACTTACACATAAACCTTTCCCGCTTTCGTTTTCGCTTTCATTGGGAAAGGTATGTATATTGTGTGATTGTATTTTTCAAAAAGTGATTTATATATTTAAGACAAAAATGCATATTTTGACTGCATTTTCAAATCTTTTTCCAATGCTTTATACAGTATACTCTTTATTAAGATTTATTGTCATTTACAATCATTATGTTTTAAATTTAATTATACATCTACTGATTTAATGATGTTTTTGACTTAATTACTACCTGGTACTTCACATGTATGTATGTGCATGATTTAAGTTTCAAGATAAGAAATGTATTTAAAAAATATGTATATTCTAATATCAAATGTGTCAACATAGTTTAATATGTATCATCTTGTTTTGAACATTTTATCGGTTATTTTACTCATATTGTTGTCTGCAAATAATTACTTAAGAATTGCATAACTTTCTGAATAAAGTTTTAAGCACAACCATGTATTTTCCTTATTTACTGAAGGAAATTTAGTTACTGATTGCACTTTTCAAGCTTAATGCAAAATGCAGTAATTAATGAACAATCTTTGGCTCATAAATGGAATTACAGTATGTGCATATATGTCTGAAGCTTAGATGATAAAACTTCTTAGTAAAAAGAACACAATTAGTCAAATTGGAATTTAAGCATCCAAATCATTAAAATGGATTCGATATACTTGTAACATGACACTTTTGGAAGTCAGGAGACATAATAAAAGAAAAAAAACATTCTAATTTTGAAAAGATGGCTCAGAATTTCTGTGAAATACTTTGAAAATGCTACCCCTCCAACAGTTTTGGTCTGATTTGTATATAACTTGGCACGCAAGTAGACTACACTAAGATACATAATTCTGTTTATCGGTTTTTGATTTCGATAAACGGTGTTGCCGTGGTTACTAAAAATAGAAATTTCTGTGAAATTCTTTCAAAATGCTACTACTCCTACAGTTTTGTTCTGATTTGTATATAACTTGGCACACAAGTAGACTACACTAAGATACATAATTCTGTATATCGGTTTAAATGATGAATGGGTGTTGCCGTTGTTACTAAAAATAGACATTTCTGTGAAATTCTTTCAAAATGCCTTGTCTCCTACAGTTTTGGTCCCATTTCAATATAACTTGGCACAAAAGTAAGCTACATAATTCTGTTTATCGGTTTTTGATTTTGATGAATCGTGTTGCCGTGGTTATTAAAGATAGACATTTCTGTGAAATTCCTTCAAAATGCTACGTCTCCTAGAGTTTTGGTCTGATTTCAATATAACTTGGCACAAGTAGACTGCACACCCAGATACATAATTCTGCGTATCGGTTTTTGATTTCGATAAACGGTGTTGCCGTGGTTACTAAAAATAGAAATTGCTGTGAAATTCTTTCAAAATGCTACATATCTTGCAGTTTTGGTCTGATTTCACTCTATCTAACTTGGCAGTTGGCACACAAGTAGACTTCACTAAGGGGACGACCATTTGATTCTGAGGGGGGGGGGGGGGGCTGGCAAAGTTTTTTGAGACGGATTATTTATTTTTATGCCTGTCAAGGACAGATTATTTATTTTCAAGATTATCGAGGACAGATTATTTATTTTCTTCCTTGATCGATTGATTCTAAAAGACTAATCATTTATATACCATAGGCGTATTCAGGAGGGGGGGGGGGACGTGTATAACTTCGTTCAAGCAAGAGGTCTGGGGCCGCCTTAAGGCCCCCAGTGGGTCCTGGTTGAAGCACTGGTGGGGGCCTAGGGAGGGAAATTCCCCAGAATCTCTTGGGTTTTCGGGTATTTTGAGAATAAAACCAGGACAATTATACATGTAGTGGTATTGGTTATTATTTACCAAAGTATGACATTATTAATATTGGTCATGTCATACTTTGAATGAAGGGGGTCCAGGGGGTGAAGCCCCTTGAAGCTCGTGGGTTTTTGTGTATTTTAAGAGTAAAACCAGGCACAATTATGTAGGAATTGGTTAGTTATGTTCCAAAGTATGACATAATTAATACTGGTCATATCATACTTTGAATGAAGGGGGCCTAGGGGGCGAAGCCCCCTGAAGCTCTTGGGTTTTTGTGTATTCTAAGAGTAAAACTAGGCACAAAAATATTGGTATTGTACTAAACTTTGGCAATATTAATATTATTCATATCATACTTTGAAATTTTAGGGGAGGGATCATACACATGTACGCCTTCCTTAAATCCGCCACTGTATACTTTGTATTAATTTATCGGGAGGTATACTTCTTTGACAAGAAAATTTATCTTTTGTGGTGTTTAAGAATTGGCTTGTATTTAAAGTGATTCATCACATCTACTGAGTGCACATTACCATGCTGATCAACTGACTACAAGTATCCAGTCTGGTAATCTGATTTTAAATACTATTTGGTTCTAAAATGGCGAGCGAAGCGAGTCAGAAAAATGCTGAATTGAAGATTCTGAGGTTAAATTGAACGTAAATAAAAAGGTATTTTCACAATATTTAAATATCATAAGTCAAGGTCAGATTATTTATTTTCTTTGCAGAGGAGGACAGATTATTTATTTTCAACATTTTCAGGGACAGATTATTTATTTCCAAAATCTGCCAGCCCCCCCCCCCCCTTCAGAATCAAATGATCGTCCCCTAAGATACACAATTCTGTATATCAGTTTTTGACTTCGATGAACATTATTGCCTTGGTTACTAGAAATAGAAATTTCTGTTAAATACTCTCAAAATCCTACTCCAAATACAGTTTTAGTCTGATTATAATATAATGTGGCCTGGAAGTAGACTACACTAAGAACATTAAGAGACTTAATCAAG